TGTAAACACCTGGTCCACACACCCTCTACCTTTCCTAAAGCCTCCTTGTTCATCTGCTCACGTATTCTCCATCTTACTCTTAATTCTTTCAATAATAACTCTACCATACACTTTACCAGGTATACTCAACAGACTTATCCCCCTATAATTTTTGCACTCTCTTTTGTCCCCTTTGTCTTTATACAAAGGAACTATGCATGCTCTCTGCCAATCCCTAGGTCCCTTACCCTCTTCCATACATTTATTAAATAATAGCACCAACCACTCCAAAACTATATCCCCACCTGCTTTTAACATTTCTATCTTTATCCCATCAAACCAGGCTGCCTTACCCCCTTTCATTTTACCTACTGCCTCACGAACTTTCCCCACACTCACAACTGGCTCTTCCTCACTCCTACAAGATGTTATTCCTCCTTGCCCTATACACGAAATCACAGCTTCCCTATCTTCATCAACATTTAACAATTTTTCAAAATATTCCCTCCATCTTCCCAATACCTCTAACTCTCCATTTAATAACTCTCCTCCTATTTTTAACTGACAAATCCATTTGTTCTCTAGGCTTCCTTAACTTGTTAATCTCACTCCAAAACTTTTTCTTATTTTCAACAAAATTTGTTGATAACATCTCACCCACTCTCTCATTTGCTCTCTTTTCACATTGCTTCACCATTCTCTTAACCTCTCTCTTTTTCTCCATATACTCTTCCCTCCTTGCATCACTTCTACTTTGTAAAAACTTCTCATAAGCTAACTTTTTCTCCCTTACTACTCTCTTTACATCATCATTCCACCAATCGATCGTCTTCCCTCCCGCACCCACTTTCCTATAACCACAAACTTCTGCTGAACACTCTAACACTACATTTTTAAACCTACCCCATACCTCTTCGACCCCATTGCCTATGCTCTCATTAGCCCATCTATCCTCCAACAGCTGTTTATATCTTACCCTAGCTGCCTCCTCTTTTAGTTTATAAACCTTCACCTCTCTCTTCCCTGATACTTCTATTCTCCTTGTATCCCATCTACCTTTTACTCTCAGTGTAGCTACAACTAAAAAGTGATCTGATATATCTGTGGCCCCTCTATAAACATGTACATCCTGAAGTCTACTCAACAGTCTTTTATCTACCAATACATAATCCAACAAACTACAGTGGTCCCCCGCTTTTCGTAGTTCCCGGCAATCGTAAAATTCGCCAATCATAGGGGTATTTTCATATAAACATGGACTCGCTTTTCATAGGTTGACTCGCGAGTCGTAGTTCGTCCGGGACGCGTACCCACTGCATGAGCCGGGGCGGCAGCCAGTCTGGCATTGTTTACAAGTGAGCGAAGGTCCCCTCACGTGCTCCAGCGAAATATTTCATAACATTCCATTTATTTTAGTGCTTGCAAGTACTAAATAAGCTACCATGGCTCCAAAGAAAGCTCCTAGTGCCAAGCCTGTGGTAAAGAAGGTGAGAAATACGACTGAATTTAAGAAAACCATCATTGAACAATATGAAAGTGGTACAAGTGTCGCCGAACTGTCCAGGATGTATAAGAAACCCTACACAACCTTATGTTCCAAAGTGGCCAAGAAAAAGGAAATAAAGGATGCTGTTGTTGCAAAGGGAGTAACTATGCTGACAAAAATGAGATCACCAGTACTGGAAGAGGTTGACAAGTTATTATTGGTGTGGATAAATGAGAAACAATTAGCAGGAGATACTCTTATGACTTCGATTATTTGCGAAAAGGCTAGGCAGTTGCATGAAGATTTGGTAAAGAAATTGCCTGCAAATAGTGGTGAAGTGAGTGAATTTAAGGCCAGCAAAGGCTGGTTTGAGAGATTTAAGAACCGTACTGGCATACACAGTGTGGTAAGGCATGGTGAGGCTGCCAGTTCGGACCACAAGGCGGCTGAAAAATATGTGTATGAATTCCAGGAGTACATAGAGGCTGAAGGACTGAAACCTGAACAAGTGTTCAATTGTGACGAAACAGGCCTCTTTTGCAAGAAAATGCCAAAGAGGACCTTCATTACACAAGAGGAAAAGGCAATGCCAGGACACAAGCCTATGAAAGACAGGCTGATGCTAATGTTATGTGCTAATGCTAGTGGGGATTTCAAAGTGAAGCCATTACTAGTGTACCATTCTGAAAATCCCAGAGTGTTCAGGAAAAACAATGTTATGAAGAGTAAATTGTGTGTGTTTTGGAAATATAATAGTAAGGCATGGGTCACGAGGGAAATTTTCGTCGCGTGGTTCAATGAAGTGTTTGGGCCCTAGGTGAAGGAGTATCTCCTGGAAAAGAAATTGGATCTCAAGTGCCTGCTAGTAATGGACAATGCACCTGCTCATCCTCCAAACTTGGATGACCTAATTTTCGAGGAGTTTGGGTTCATCACAGTAAAGTTCTTGCCCCCGAATACCATTCCTCTCCTCCAGCCCATGGACCAGCAGGTCATTGCAAACTTTAAAAAAGTCTACACAAAAGCAATGTTTCACAGGTGCTTGACTGTGACCACAGACACTCACTTGACCCTAAGGGAATTTTGGAGAGAACACTTCAGCATCCTCCATTGCATAACCCTTATAGGTATGGCTAGGGAGGGAGTGACTACCAGGACTTTGAACTCTGCCTGGAGAAAATTGTGGCCAGATTGTGTCGACAAGAGGGATTTTGAAGGATTTGGGACTGACCCTAATGAGCCTATGTCTGTTGTAAAATCAATTGTGGCACTGGGGAGTTCCATGCGGTTGGATGTGAGTTTGGAGGATGTAGAAGAATTGGTGGAAGACCACAATGAAGAGCTCACCACTGAGGAGCTGCAAGAGCTTCAGCAGGAAGAGCAACACATCGCAGCTCAGAATCTTGCTGCAGAGGAGGAGGAAGAGAGATGGAAGAAGGTGCCTTCTTCAGAAATTAAAGAGATTTTTACTATGTGGGATAAGATGGAAAGCTTTATGGAGAAACATCAACCTAACAAGGTTGTTGCAAGCCAGGTTGGCAACATGTACAGTGACAAAGTCTTGGGCCATTTTAGGGAAGTGTTAAGAGACGCCAGAAACAGAGCTCTCTCCACAGTTATTTTGTGAGACAGGACTCCAGTGACTCTCAAGGTGGTCCTAGTGGCATTAAGAAACAGAGAAGAGAAGCAACCCCAGAAAAGCAAATGGTACCTGAGGTGTTGATGGAAGGGGATTCCCCTTCCAAACTATAAACAATCCACTCTCTCTCCTCCTCCAGTCTCCCATACACTAAGAAGAATCTCCAATAAAGGTAAGTGTTATGCTGTTAATATACAAGGCACAATACCGTGATGTTAACGTACACAATAACACCGCACATAAAAGTTAAAAGCTTACTGCGACGTTCGGACCGATTGTCAATGGTCAAGTCGGGCGAAAACGTCGTCGTAAGCTTCTGTCTTTTAATGTGCGGGATTAATTAGTTAAACAGTTACATGTATTCATTCATCATTCCCATGTATTGTTTAATGTCTACATGTATATTTCAGTGTAAAAATTTTTTTTTCAATACTCTGTGTCAGGAACGACTTAATTGTATTTACATAGTTTATGGTGAAAATTGATTCAGTAAAGCAAAATTTCGTTTATAGTAACGCTTCCAGAACGGATTAATTACGAAAAACGGTGACATGTACTGCATTTCGCCCTACATATATCTATGGGGGACATGTACTTATTTATCCTCTTTTTCTTAAAATATGTATTACCTATAACTAAACCCCTTTCTATACAAAGTTCAATCAAAGGGCTCCCATCATTTACACCTGGCACTTCAAACTTACCTACCACACCCTCTCTAAATGTTTCTCCTACTTTAGCATTCAGGTCCTCTACCACAATTACTCTCTCACTTGGTTCAAAGGCTCCTATACATTCACTTAACATCTCCCAAAATCTCTCTCTCTCCTCTACATTCCTCTCTTCTCCAGGTGCATACACGCTTATTATGACCCACTTTTCGCATCCAACCTTTACTTTAATCCACATAATCCTTGAATTTACACATTCATATTCTCTTTTCTCCTTCCATAACTGATCATTCAACATTACTGCTACCCCTTCCTTAGCTCCAACTCTCTCAGATACTCCAGATTTAATCCCATTTATTTCCCCCCACCGAGACTTCCCTACCCCCTTCAGCTTTGTTTCGCTTAGGGCCAGGACATCTAACTTCTTTTAATTCATAACATCAGCAATCATCTGTTTCTTGTCATCTGCACTACATCCACGCACATTCAAACATCCCAGTTTTATAAAGTTTTTCTTCTCTTTTTTAGTAAATGTCTACAGGAGAAGGGGTTACTAGCCCATTGCTCCCGGCATTTTAGTCGCCTCATACGACACGCATGGCTTACGGAGGAAAGATTCTTTTCCACTTCCCCATGGACAATAGAAGAAATAAAAAAGAACAAGAGCTATTTAGAAAAAGGAGAAAAACCTAGATGTATGTATATATATATATGCATGTGCGTGTCTGTGAAATGTGACCAAAGTGTAAGTAGGAGTAGCAAGATATCCCTGTTATCTAGTGTTTATGAGACAGAAAAAGACACCAGCAATCCTACCATCATGCAAAACAGTTACAGGTTTCTGTTTCACAGTCATCTGGCAGGACGGTAGTACTTCCCTGGGTGGCTGCTGTCTACCAACCTACTTCCCTAAATCCCTTCATAAGTGTCACACTCCAACAGTAGCTTCGTAATATATGAATAACATGTATTACTACTTTATAAAAAGTCCCTAGATATGCATAGCATCTCAGGCAGCCTTAAAACTAAATTATGATTACAAATATATGACAAGAATACATTGTTGAAAACAATTATCAAGTTTTGTGACAATATACAAGAACCATTACATTACAAGAACCATTACATTACAAAAACCATTACAAAGGCAAATAGAACACTTTCACAGGTGGGAAACTAAATTGCATTGTGGCTCTGCATAATTAATCACAACAACATTTCTTACCTGTAATGTTCTTGACTGTCCAGAAGTCCATAGAGAGAAGTATGACAATGGTAATGAATGGACCAATGAAGCCATTGCTAACAAACCCACACAACTCGTACACAACCAGAGCAGCGGTACGAAACATAAGATGAAACAAAGTCACCATTGGATGCCTAGAAATTGGAAAGAGTCCATTAATTTACTAAGAATTAATCACATAATTATTATTAATAAACATCAATGCAGAAAACATTTTTAATAAAATCATAAATGCAGTAAAATATATTTGTATTTATACACAATTTATTATTAAGGTAAAGTGTCTCATTAATAGGTCTCTCATTAACCCTTTAACTGTCGCGACCCCTGCTCACAAACTTGCTCTCGGTGTCGAAGAATTTAAAAAAAAAAAAAAAAATTCTTATGAAATGATAGAGAATCTTTTCCGATTGGTAATGACACCTAAAGTACAAAATTTGATGGATAAACTTATGGAATTATGCTCTCATGAAGTTAGCGGTCTTGGTGATACATACGAATTGGCGATTCTGCCCACTTTGAGCCCTATTTTGGCCAATTCCATTAATCCAGTCGACCAACTCATAGCTATTTTGCTAGAACGCCATTTGTTCTACTGACTGAATACAAGGAACCGCCCATTTATCGATTTCAACTATGCAATAAAGTGGTCAGAAATTGTCAATTTGACCACTTTCACACAAATTTCAAAAGATACCAATTTCAGAATAGGATCCAGAATAAACAATGCAGACATTCCTGGCACTAAAATAACATTTTCTCTGTTATCAGTCTTGTCTCCAGGCCCCCTCTGATATTACTCTTGCTTTCCATTTTGAATTTTTATTCACACAAAAAATAGAAGATTTACTGTTATGCAGACTACTGCATTATTGTAATAATTGTATAAATAATGTCAACCCATTCATAGCTGCGTATCAGACTGGCCAGTTGGATACATACTGAATGGTGATGTCATTTGTTCACTCTTGAACATCAGCAAAAATCGAACATTACTGCTACTTTGAGCTCAATTTCAAGATACTTTTCACTGTGAAACCCATCAAAATAATCTCTCTTTCTGTAACATGTTTTCCATTCCATCAACTGAGACCAAGAAAACAAGAATACAACCATAAATACCATACGAAAATACACCTCAAATTAGGCGTTTTAAACCAAAAACATGGTCAGTTTTTTTTCCTCATTATGCACTGCATGTTACAGGATTTTTTTATAGCACACACACTGACCATGCAGACCCATTCTCTCACATGTAGGTCTACCAGCTTTCTCCCGCTAGATCTGAAGCCACTAGAATTTTGGCGCATTAACATGGCACCAACACTAGCTTGTAAGCCGTACTAATATGACACGCCGTACTAATATGACACTGACAATGAAAGGGTTAATGGATTTCAGCAATTTAATATAAAAAAAAATTGCCAAACATAGGAAGCATTGGCCAAAATGGAAAAAAGTCCATAATTCCACATTTTGTCCATGGAGTTTTACGACTCACTTGCTATGAGTTCAATCCTCGCTCATGGTATAGTTTGTCCAATTGTCCTCTGAAGCGTTGGGCCAAATCTGATTTCTCTGACATTTACAGGTACCATCCAGCTTACGATTGAGCTTGGTTCCGACCAACCAGTCGCAAGTCGAAATGGATGTAAGTCGAACCTTACTACTGATTATAAACATCACATTTCTGTAATGACTTTATTTTACTGTTTTATTTTGGTATTTCATTTTTTACTTTACTTTTTATGCTGTTAGTACTGTATTTTATACTGTAAGGTTTAGGATAAACACTGTGTACAACACAAACAGTTGTTTATTTCCCAGAAATTTGGCATGCAAAACACTGTTGTAAGTCGAGTGGTCGTATGTCAAGCAGGTCGTAAGTCGGATGGTAGATGTATCTGGTATGGGCCAGAGCGGCCACAACCAGGACCTGTCTGTTTTTGTTGTTCCCTGTGCCATAGACCTCCCAGAAGTTTGTGTTCACTCACACATACATTCGTCAGTCAGTTTCCAATTTTCTCTTGGATTTTAGCATTTTGTGTGAATTTATTAACATGCAGGCAGGCCCCACTTTACAGAGCTTCACTTTAAAGCATTTTGCTAATACAGCAGTTGTAAATTATACCCATTCTTCATTTATTCAGACTTCCTACACTATATTCACCACTCACTATAAACTAAGGATGAAAAAATTAAAGGTAAGTAATGTTTGTTTACTATATATGCATGTTTAGATCTAACTATATTGCTCGCTTAATATATGATAGTGTAAACTTGTTATCAGGCTTATGTATGCATTTGAAAGTTAAAAAAAAGGCTATCATTCACTTTACAACAATTTTCACATTACAGCAGTAGTCCAGAGCCTATCCTACTGTATAAGGGAAGCCCACCTGTATTAAATAAGGTGTAATTAACAATGGTTTCTAAGGTAAATGGTGGTGCCAAGAGGTAACATGTAGCTCTCACTGGCAAGAAGAAACTTGAACTTATAAAGAAGATTGAGTCGGGCATCTCGGTGGCATGGGAATGTGAGGAATATAGTGTTAAGACAGTGTTTTTTTGATATCTGTAGAAGCAAGGACAAACTTACAGATTATGCTTTTGAATGTAGATGCTAACCATAAAAGTTCAAGAGTTGGTCCTGGAAAGTATATGAAAATGACCCATGATAAAAAGCTTGAAAAAGCAGCTCATAAATGCTAAGTTCAACAACATTCTGTTGGTACAAATGCTCCTCCTTTTATGATGGTTTGACACGATATTTCGATTTTACAATGGTATGATAGCAATGCACATTCAGTAGTCATCAAACTTTGAATTTTGATCTGTTCCCGGGACAGCGGGAATCAGTGAGGCAGTGAAGTCATCTGCATCTGTTAACCCTTTGACTGTCGCAACCCCCAATCCTGAGGTGTCTCCTGGTGTCGCAAAACTTAAAAAAAAAAAAAAAAATTATTTTTCTTATGAAATGATAGAGAATCTTTTCCTGATTGTAATGACACCAAAAAAACGAAATTTGATGGAAAACTGACGGAATTATGCTCTCGCGAAATTAGCGACCTCAGCGCTGTTTACAAATCGGCGATTTCGCCCACTTTGAGCCCTATTTTCGGCTAATTCGATTGTTCCAGTCGCCCAAACTCATAGCTATTTCTTTAGAACTCCATTTTTTCTATCGATTGAGTACAAGAAACTGCCCATTTACCGATTTCAATTACCTAATAATGTGGTCAGAAATTTGCAATTTGGCCAGTTTCACGAAAACTAAAAAATAAGACAATTTCAAAATAAGGTCCAGAATGAACAATGCAGACATTCCTGGCTCTAAAATAACATTTTCTTTGCTCATCAGTCATGTCTCCAGGCCCCTCTGATATTACTCTTGCTTTCTATTTTGAATTTTTATTCAAACAAAAAATAGAAGACTTACTATTATGCAGACTACTGCAATACTGTAATAATTGTATAAATAACATCAACCCATTCATGACTGCATATTAGAATGGCTAGTTGGACATTTATTGGACAATGGCATCATTTGTTTACTTTTGAACATTGGCAAAAATCAAACATTTCCCCTACTTTGAGCTCCATTTCTAGGTTCTTTTTATAGTAAAATCAATCAAAATCACCTCTATTTCTATAATATGTTTTCCATTCTATCAAATGAGACCAAGAAAACGAGAATACAACCATAAATACTATACGAAAATACGTAGTAGACCACAAAGTCGGCATTTTAATTAAAAAAAAACGGTCGGAGTTTTTTTTTCTCATTATGGACTGCGTGCTCCAGGATTTTTTTTATATGGTGCACACTGACCACACAGACCCATTCTCTCACATGTGGGCCTACCAGCTTTCTCCTGCTTGATTTGAAGCCGCTAGAATTTATGAGTACAGGAAGGCCCCACTTATACGGCTGGTTAGGTTCCAGGCTACCGCCGTAAAGCGGAAACCGCCGTAAAGTGGAACACCCTTTTTTTCCACTTACAAATGCATACAAACACTAGATAACAAGTTTACACTAACATATATTAAGTTAGCAATAGAACCAGGCATCAAAAAACAATAAAAAGTACAATACACACATAGTGCACTCATTACTTACCTTAAAATATTTATAGTCTTAATCTAGGGTGAGACAAGTAGTATTTATTGTAAGAAATCAAGTGTGGTATGTATGGTAGTCAGCCAGGCTACCATACCAGGCCACCCCACCCACACATACAATTCTATGATATTTAAGCATCCCAGAGCGATAAAATGTATATACAGTTCACTCATTACTTACCTTAAAATATAGGGTGAGGATGAGTAGTATTTATTGTATAAAAAATCAAGTGTGGTATGTATGGTAGTCAGCCGGGCTACCATACCAGGCCAACCCACCCACACATATATTCCATGATATTTAAGCATCCCAGAGCGTTAAAATGTATATACAGTTCACTCATTACTTACCTTAAAATATTTGTAGTCTTAATGTAGGGTCAGGAGTAAGTAAATGAGATAAAACGAATAAATGAGAGAGAGAAAGAATGAGTGCATGAGAGGAGGACAGGCGCAGAGTTATGTAAACAAACCAGGTGAAGGTAAGTTTTGTAAACGAAGTGTACACGTCTGGTTTGTGTACAAGTTACATTGTGTACAGGTTGTCTCTACATTGATACGGTAGAATAAATAAAGAAGAACACTCCCATTCTCATGTAACATCATTTTGAGAAGAAATGATGCTCTGAGTGAAGGCAATGGAAATAAGTCACTCTGACTTTTTTGGGTTATCCTAGGTTCTCTACACATATGTTGTTATGTATGATAATCTATGTAACTGTATTTGTGTATACCTGAATAAACTTACTTTACATAATACGAAAGGAATAATTTTCTACAGGTTACCCCCAGTAACACATTTTCTCTTATGTTAGATTAGAGAAAATGTTATTCTTGGCATCACTTGTACAAGTTATCTGGCTACGACATCTCATAATTATGTTTATTTATTCTATTGTAGGGTGTATTTATCATCTTTTTATGTTATGTATCGTGTTTATTATATAATTTTGAAAAAAATATCATGGATGGATTAATGAAAATGTGTATATTAACGTAATATACAACATTTAATAAGACTCGGTGATTATTATTA